GGATTTTAAGAAAATTTTTCCAAAAAAATTTCTAAGTTTTTTCATATACTCATAGGTCTAAAGAGGTGCGTAGTGAATGCATGTGCAAAGAAATGTTATTCTATTTTATTATCGAAAAACAACTTGTAAAAAAGCTCTCTTAACAGTTAAAATTGCAGAATCAAACCTAAACTCATAACAGCATGCAGGACAGTTTCATTTTTAATGATGCCGAGCTTCAACATTTCCCACAGCACAAAATCTTTATCAAGAGAACGTTGATCAACCTAAAAAACTTCACAATTTTTTCCATAGACACAAAGAGGAGAATGGAATCTAATCACTCTAGCGTACGAAAAATGCAGCCAGAAGCTTGGCTCTCATGAAAATATTCGCAAAAATAATTCAAGTATTTTTGATAAGACAAAAAAGAAGAAGAATGGGTTCGTGTCACTCCAGTTTAAAAAAAATTTAGTGAGAAGTTCGGATCTTAGGAAATTATTTTCAAAAAAATCAGAGTTTTTTCAAGTTCAGAAAGTCTAGAACTAAATCCACTGTACACAAAAAAATATTCAGAGTTGAGTTTGGATTTTGTGAAATAATAAAATCAAAGTTTTTCTTCAAGGTGAGGAAGTAGAACTCTGGAATTTACTCACCTTTGCATACCAAAAAAATACAAAGAGTTGACACTGGAATTTCAGAAATATTTTCGAAAAAATTTTGTAAGTGTTTCGATACCCTATGATCAAAGGTATAAAGATGTCAGACTGGAATTTACTCACGATCAGACACCAAAAAATTAAGTTGAGCTGAGATAGGATTTTCAAAAATATTTTCGAAAAAAATTTCTAAGCTTTTTGATACCCTATGAACAAAGGTCTAAAGAGATGCGAGGTGAGTCTGGGATTTACTCATGATCAGACACCCAAAAAGATACAAAGAGTTGACACTGGATTTTAAGGAAATATTTTCGAAAAAAATTTCTAGGTTTTTTGATATCATATGATCAAAGGTCTAAAGAGGTGAGACTGGAATTTACTCACTATCAGGCACCAAAAAAAATACAAAGAGTTGACACTGGATTTTAAGAAAATTTTTCCAAAAAAATTTCTAAGTTTTTTCATATACTCATAGGTCTAAAGAGGTGCGTAGTGCGGCTGGAATTTCCTTACTATCAGACACCAGAAAAATTAAGATGAGCTGAGACTGGATTTTGAAAATATTTTCGAAAAAATTTCTAAGTTTTTTTGAGGGTCCTCAAAGACAACACCCTGACAGGTATGCCTCTGATGATCAATAGATTAGATTTCTTACTGAGGTCTAGCTAAGTAGTTTGAATTTCTTTCTCACTCTGGATTTTAAGGCAAAAGTGGCAAAAAAGGGAGACTGGATGCGTTTTTGAGTATACAAGTGCCCCGGTTCACCCCCC